CTTATTACTGGAGGGATAAAATCAACACCCATTGATGCAAGTTACAGGAAGCACTACAATATGCTCCCTTATCAAAGAGAAGGCCTTGATCCTGTGGAAGCTACTGCGCATATCGATGGGTACGTTCTTCAGCACCTATGAGAATAGACCAAGACATCTGTAAACGCAATCTGGTCTAATACAGAAAGCCATAGAACTGAAGAAAGCATTACAAATCGATGACAAACAAAAAAGCCTCTCTCTACCCATGAACCCATCAGCAGACGCTGATGTAGTGTGTTGCAAGCAACTGCTTAACTTCTTCAGAAAATCAAACATCCCTCCATAACAAATGCGCTCACTGGCCCTCGAGACAATCAATGTCAACTATCCTGCAGATCAATGGCTCCAAGTCTTCACTGACGGTCATACAAGTCATACATAGAAAATCAAGCAAACATTGGTGCAGGTGTCTAGAAAACCAAGCAAACGTTGGTGCAGGTGTCTATTCTGAACTCTTCTATTTCTATGCAGCAGCGGGACACAATAGATCCGCATTTGAAGAAGAAATAGAGACCATTAGGATAGCAATATGCCAATTATGACATGCTTTTGCTGCCGATGTTAATACTAGCAATGACTGGTTAGTGACCAGAACCAGGATCCACTAGCAATGACTGGTTTGTGACCAGAACCAGGATCGTCGTGCGGCGTGTATGCTCGCTGATGTCGCTTGAAGCCAAGAGGAAATGCCTCGAATAAACTCACTGATTTCGGTTGAAGCCAAGAGTAAGTCAGGAGTTGTTCTTGTTCCATTGTAGTGCGAATATGTAGCCGGATCCTCATTGCTGTAAATAAGTTCCAGTGGGTTGCTGTTATCATGTCTTCAATTCCCTTTCCAGCTATGTTTGTATCCTTGTAGTCCCATCTGGTGGAATGGGCGTTGAAGTCTCCTAATACTATAGTTTTGTGTGAGATGCTCAGAAAATCAAAGTTGGGACAATTCTTGGGTGGATTTTAGACTGCATATATCTTGAATTGGTTTTGACATTTCCAAACATTTAATCTAATTATTTCACATATGTCTTGTGTGAGGTGAGGCCTTCTTTTACTCCAGTTAGAATTCCACTTGCAACTTGCCGGTATTTAGGTAGAAGGTACAGGTTGTAACCTGGGAATTGGTAGTACTTCAGTTTGTCATCCGAAATGTTTGCTTTCATAATTGTGAAAATGTCTACATCATAGGTTTGTAGGATTTTCTGTACTTGGATCTTTATTTCCGGTGACATTCCTCCAGCATTCCACTGAAGGATCTGAAGACGTTGTGATTTCCCCTGACGAGGGCGATCTTTCTTATAGCCTTGTTTTAAGCTAATCATAATAAATCGAAGTCAAATCGAATGCCGAGTGATAGACTTTTTGACGCACGAAGATACGTTGTCCAGGGTGCACCACGTGGAGGTAAGGTACGTTGTCCAGGGTGCACCACGTGGAGGTAAGTCTATCGTATTCTTAAGAATAATTGTTTAGAAAACCAGCAAGGGTTGAGCACCCTACGTTTGACAACTTGTGAATATGATAATGTCAATCTATAACTTGTATGGGGTGCGCGATAGACTTATCTCCACATTGTGCACCCTGGGCAACTATACTCATATGGCAAAAAAGTCGATTAACCAGCAGTTGGCTTCTGACTCCAAGCTATCATGACCTCCATCATCCCATATTCCACAACTTCCCCTGTATTCACCTCACATTTTTCTACCTTTGTGTCTGCTACTTCTATATTTGTTAATCATCCTTCTGTTTCCACCTCTCGACTTATACCACTCTGATCTTCCTGGTATTATCGATCAAATTGTTCAAAATGCTATCGATGAAGTGCTTGGAGCATGGCCAACTTGAATAAAAGATTGGTGAACAGCGTGTGGAGCTGTTGACGAAATATAACCAGTCGAATATGATAAGCTATTTTTATTGGTTTGGAATATTCTGTGACTCCTCAGTGTCTATAATAGTGTCCCACATAACATATCGGAAGTTTTCTTCGGTTCAAAACTTCCTTATTAAACATATTTCGAATTTTTCATGTTCAAACTTTTGAATTTAATCACCAATTTTCTGTTAATTTGTTCTCTGAAATATTAATTTAGGTTTAGCGGTGATTCTGCCGTCTTTAAACATGCTTCCCATGGTTCCAATTCTCCGTCTTCATAGTTTATCATTCCTCTTTTTATTCAAAGTTCAACTAAATGAATATTTATTTGCACTATTCAGTTTTAAACCAAACCTATAATTAAATAATATATGTCATTATTCAGCAAATTGAACCCTAATTAATTTTTAGAATAGTTGAAAAATCGATATATTAGTATTAAAATAAAAAAGAACCAAAGTAAATTTATTTTACTATTTCATTTATTACCATTTTTAGGTGAACAGATAGTGATTTCACTTCCATGTTCTCTTTTATGGGTCCGGGAAATTTTTTCACAATGAAAAGCGTGCATAATGTTCGCCGTCACACCAAAGGTCCTTTTCGACAATTTGTTGTGACGATATAGATATGCATTAGTCTCACAGCAAAGAGAGAAACTGGTCCCATTCATTAATCGAAATAATTTGGGAAAAGTGTAATATTGAAAAGTAGTTGTATTTTGGTGCATATTAAAGATTGAAAATATAGGTGACGCTTTTCAAAAAAATTGACCAAACTTCCATGAATAGAAACAACGAATCTCGTTGTCTCCGCTATAATTGAAGAACATATTTCCAATTTTGAATTTTTGAATCTTTTTCTTTACTGTGTCTTTTACTTTAGAGCTCATTTGACAAAGTGTAAGACGTGGATATGTCAAGGTGTGGACTTAAACGATTTTCCCGTTTAGAGGAAATGCGTATATTGACTTCATTAATGGATTTATTCAACTAAAGACAAATAAAAGCGCCTAGCATTATCAATGAGTGTTAATACTGGAACTTTGATTAGTTCATTTGCTTATGAGTTACCAATTTTTATTTTCTCTATTAAAAGTTAGCATACTTTAAGTGGTTAATGAATTATTGACTAACTAGTATGGTGACAAATAAATTTCACTGCAAGCGGTTTGCTTTTCTGTTGAATTTGGAGGTTTATATATGTATATGTATCGTATATCATAAAGCCTGCCAGTTTTTATAATTATTTGAATTATTTTATTTTTTCCAGGTACTGGAATTATATCCAGTATTCAAATTTATTCTCTGCCCGCAGCACATAGGAGGTTACCTTAACCAAATCAGTGTTGGTCCTCGTGAGCGCAAAATAACCCTACCACGTTCTGTCATGTTAAGAAAAATTTATTGATTCCTCTTTTCGATTACTGTTCCATCCCATTTGAAAGCGTATCTGGGCTCATGTCATACGCTGGTTCTGGTTCCATTGTAGTGCAAATATGTAGCCGGATCCTCATTGCTGTAAATAAGTTCCAGTGGGTTGCTGTTTAGCATGTCTTTGATTTCCTTTCCAGCCATGTTTGTATCCTTGTAGTCCCATCTGGTGGAATGGGCGTTGAAGTCTCCTAATATTGCAGTTTTGAGTGAGATGTTCAGAAAGTCAAAGTTTGGACAATTCTGGGGAGGATTATAGACTACATATATCTTGAATTGGTTTTGACATTTCCAAACATTTAATCTGATTATTTCACATATGTCTTGTGTCAAGCCCATACTCTTGATTAGACCGTAGTGTGAGGTGAGGCCTTCTTTTACTCCAGTTAGAATTCCACTTGCAACTTGCCGGTATTTAGGTAGAAGGTACAGGTTGTAACCTGGGAATTGGTAGTACTTCAGTTTGTCATCCGAAATGTTTGCTTTCATAATTGTGAAAATGTCTACATCATAGGTGTGTAGGATCTTCTGTACTTGGATCTTTTTGTCCTGTGATATCTCTCCAGAATTCCACTGGAGGATCTGAAGACGTTGTGATTCACCCTGACGAGGTCGATTTCTCTTATAGCCTTGTTTTAAGCTAATCATAATTCGATTTCTCTTATAGCCTTGTTTTAAGCTAATCATAATAAATCGAAGTCAAATTAAATGCGGATTGATAGAATTTTTTTGGCGTACGAAGATACGTTGTCCAGGGTGCACCACGAGGAGGTAAGTCTATCGCGTACCCCAATCAAATCAAAATAAGATTGGCATAAATGATTATTGGATGACGCTTTTGGCATATCCGAATAGAAAAGTAGATTCCAGACCTGTTTTTTACTATATCAAGGATGTGCTGAAAACACGTTTTCCCCTATTAATTCGTCATATAATATTAGGCGTTTATGTGGAACAAAATGTCAAATTTGGCTTAGTATCACCTTTTCGCAAAACAATGATGAATAAGGATGATTATTTAACAAATGGTATGAATCCATTTCTGCTGGCATTGATTTTCAGTTCTTTATTACCATTTGTATGAGTTAAAGATGCATTAATATTTGTTTTCGTTTTATTTAACGTTCCGTGTACGTAGTAATTTGAGACAATTAATTGTGGACATTGTTATTGACTGAGTGGCTGGCATGCAGCAGGTTGAGATATTTCTTAATGAAATACGAAATTACGATCAACTTGCTCTTCAGCTGGACCTTCTGTGTGAGTGTAATTATAAATGAATATATTTCAAGAGGCGGTATTTTGAAAATCTAGATGACTTTTCTATCATTAGTGTTTATTCACTAATGGGAAAATTTTTCTTAATTGAAGTAAATAAGATACTAATATTTTATTATGATAATGAAAAAATGTTGCGGTTTGTACTCTCTGCATAAAAATGAATGGAAATATGCCAATTAACCCTAATCTAGTGAAATAAGCCAAATCACTTTTAATGCTCAAGTGGTTTACACTTATTTCAATAGCTAGAAGAGACTCCAGTTATTTAAGACTCTTGCTTAATCGAGTAAAATTCCTTTGAAACTCAATTTAATTCTAAGTAGTCCAAACGTATGCATGGACCAGTCGCTTTAAGATTGACAGAAGCTATATTCAACTCATACAAATTTTTACCATGTAACAAAATTCATTTACTTATATCAAATGACAGACGGTTTGATGGTTATTATTAGCCCTTTCGCTGACTTTGGGTTTTGCAGAGGGGAGAAGCATTAAAATGAGAAAAAGAATAGAAGGGGGAGGGAGGAACAAAGGAGTTATTCACAGATGTAGAGGAGGACGGCGGCGAAAAGGTAAAATAAGTACCATGGAAGTGATTGAATATGCTATACCATCGGGTCATGGTAGCTTAAAATCGGAAGTCAATTGCCGTTTTTTAGACATTTTAGCCCTACTCGTTCTCGTTGCTAAGGATGCATCACATGGAGATAAGCGCACTGTACACCCCCGTGTAGCAAAATTATACCCACCATTCGAGTTAAAACAGTGCCTGCAAACATGACATTGAGCATACTTTAATCAAGAAAAACAAAGTCATAAAATCAATTAATGCGGCTTTCTCAAAATTTTAATCATCTTGGTCTTGTTGGGGGTTTATTAATTTATTTTCCTACCGATCTCAGTTGGGGAAGATGTGATTATCAGTGTACTTCAAATACAGCAGAATCTACTAATTCAGTTCAGGCAAGGTTAATGCAAAGCAAAAATTGTTTATTTTTTTCTTTGTTATAGTCTCTTTTCTATCTGAGATAAAATCCATTATGGTCTTATTATCGAGCAACGTACTCATAATACTAAAACGATGAAATTAACGAGGTTGTACTGATATTGCACCACGGGACAATTATATTTTCAATTGTAGATTTTGACATATAATTCATCTTATGTTATTGCTATGCATGTATGTTTTTATGTGT